GCGCCCACCGCAAGCCCAGGGCTCAGCTGGCAGGGCCCCGCATGCAGCCCCCACCCGGGGCAGGGCTGAGTGGCAGAGCGTACCAGCCGCGCCCCCTTCCTGGCCGTGCTCCTGCCCGGGCCCCTGGAGCCTGCCTCTCCCCCTCTGATGTAAGCTGATATTTTAATTCTCTTACAAGGAATGGTGTTTAGAGAAATGACTTAACCGGATTACTCATCGTCTCTAATGACTTGGCCGGACTCCGGCGCTATTCCTAGACGTGACGCTTGAGGCTTTGATTCTTTCTCTCTTTTCTTTTGCTCCTTTTTTTTTTTTTTTTTTAAATACCAAGAAATTACAGCCCTGCCTACACAGAGGCCCAGCCCCTACACGCCCCCCTTGCATGGCATCCTGGGAGATGGAGTTCTTTCCTGGCCCCAGTCACGCCCCCATCGCCTAGGGACCCCCATCCCCAGCCCAACTCCTTGCCCCTCTCCTGCCTCATCTTGGTGGGAGATGGGCAGGGTCTGGCTGGGCAGAGGTCATTTAACCTCTACATGCCTTGCTTTACTCTTCTGTCACATGGAAGGGTCACCTGACATACAACAGAGAGTGGAAGGGTCAGTTGAGACCTTATTTTAAGTAAAAGTGTCACACAGACCCAATGGTTTTAAGAGATTCCTTGTCCAGTGCATTTTGTGCTGAGCTCCAGTCAAGACTCCCACAGAGCTTTAGTTACCCTGACCCTGGGACTTACCAGTGCCTGGCCCTCACCCAGCCCACACTTACTCCTTCCTATCTGTGGAGGAGTCTGCGGGCTTGTCCAGCACTTACTCTCTGGTTTTCTGTTGTAATAAAGGGATAGATACAGATACAGCGCCCACTTCAGAGGGCTAGAGCGACATTGAATGAAATACTCCATGCAAGATGGTGCAGTGCGTGTTAGGGTCAGCCCCGGTCCAAGGCTTTTTCACCCCTTTCAGCACAAGACCTTGGCTGAGTAGCTGGAGCAGGGACTGATTCTTAGCAGCCTGTGAAGTTGGCAAGGGCCACATCTTCTGCTCCACAAGGATATCGACTTCGTTCTGGCCGTGGCTACATCCCATGTCTAGCTCAGTGCTGGCACGTAGTAGGACCACACAACACATATTGGATGAGTGGATGACTGAAAAAGTGGAGAGTTATCCTGCTTTCCAGAGGAGGAGGCTGAGGCCCTGAGAGGTTCAGTGACTTGTCCAAGGCCACACAGCTGGGCTGTGTCTTCAGTGGGGATGAAAACCCCAGTTTTCTCTCCCTGCCCTCCGTTCCCCTCCCCCAGGGGAATTCAGCTTCCACCATTCAGGCTCAGGAAGTTCAGAACCATGGGTTTCTACCCTGCTGGGACACAGTGGGGAGATGTGGGGTGGAGAGGTGAACCCAGCCCAGCCCTGGCCCAACACAGGAAGTCCTTCCAGATTGGCCGGAGGTTGGAGGGAACCTAGAGCCAGGTGCAGATGCAGTTTCCAGCGTGGACAAAGCTCGGGAAGCTGGTTTACACGCGCCCTGGGGTACAGTGGCCAAAGCTCTTTCAGGCAGGAAGTTGGCCCTTGGTGATCTGGGACTCACAACCACCTCCCTACTGCCTCACCCCCAGCAGTTCCCCAAAGGCCAAAAGCTATTCTTGTCTTTTTCTAAAAGAGGCATTTGAAACCATGAGCCAATTTTTTCCATTCCTGAGCTTGGGTATCATCTATTTCGGGCATTTGTTGTTTTCCATGAGTTGCAAATGCTGCTGTGAAGCTGGCCTTTCCTGGACAGCTAGCTCGGGGAACGAGGAGTTAGGCAAGCAGGGTGGAGCTGCGTTAAAAATACTTCCCTGCTTCGTTTCTCCTTTGAAAACAAAGCCCTAGGGGCCTTTGGCAACTGCTGAGCCTGGGAACTGAGCTTCCCAGGATAGAAGACTGGCTATGCATTCTGTTTCCTGAGGGCACTGGAGGGGTTTGTCGGTCCCAGACGACACAAAAGCACTGATTTTACTGTGTGACTTTGGGCAGTTTGCTTAACCTCTCTGGGCCTGGTGGCCTCCTTTCTAAAATGAGACCAGGTGGACAGATGATCTTGAATGGTCCCTACGGCTCTGAGAGCTCCAGGAGGAGAACCACCCCCGGGGCCAGATTTTCTTCCTAGAAATGGGCTAACAAGAGGTGCTAGGACATGGAAGTGGGAGTTAGAAAGCAGCTTTTAGCTCAGTCTGGGAACACTTTGTGAGCTCTTTAGCCCTGAAACTGTTCTAAGGGGGTCTATAATGTTCTCAGCAGGATTCATGTAATTCCAAAAAGATTAAACGCTATCAAGAGGAGATTAAATACACTGTGCTGGGCACACAGCCCAGCAGTTCCCAAAGAAGCAGATCTGTGTTCTAACAAGGAAAGTCTGTAAGATCTAGCGGTAATCGAAAAAGCAAGTTTCAGAATGCAGCAATGAGAATTGTATTGTTTCCTTAAACATACACATAAAACAAAGCTATATATTTTTCTATACCTGGATACACACATATTTTTGAAAATACATAGGGAAAGTTCTGGAAGACTTCACCCAATCTGACGGGTCCTTAACTCTGGGGCAGGGAGGGAACTGGATTTGGGGTGGCATCAGAGAGGGCCGATCTACTTGCATGTTTTTACAGGAAGAATGTGTTTATTTATTAAGTGATGGTTTGTTTTTCTTATTCTTGAGACACACAAAGAGCCATCAGGACACTGAGGGGCTAGGTGACCCCTCTGTAGGCACAGAGGCGTCCTGGCCTGGGACCCTGTGGTTGAAGAGTGCAGGAGGAGGGCAGCTTTGGGCCGGAGTGGAGGTGTGTGAGATGGAGGCTTGAGCAATGGAAGTGTTTACGCTTTTAGCCAGACGAATGAAGATGTCTGTTTTCCGCAGGATTTACGGGCCATTGTAAATTACTTTCTATTGCAAACAGTTGCCTCAGGAAGCAATTAAATTTAGATCCTATCGTTCCCAGGCTGGCACAGGCAGGTGTTGACTTGCTGAGGCTTTGCACAACAGCCCTTGTCTGTCAGAATGTGCCCAGCTGCCCGGATGGCAGAATAACCTTAACGCTTGGTGGGATGAGCTGCTGTCTTATAAGATAGTGAGTTCCTTGTCAGTAGGGGTATCCAACCCACAAGTGAGGGGTTGGCCTAGATTGTGACCCCGGAGGCTGCATCCAGAGCTCCATTCCCAACTTTGGGCCTAGTGCCTGCCAGTGAATGCTTCCAGAATGGACAAAGGTGCTTCCTGATGGCATCCCATCATAGTGTCTTCCACCACAGCCTTAGCTCTTCTGGAGGGGAAAGTGGCTTGTGAACTTGGAAGTGGGATGCATTGTTATAATGACCGTTACGATTGTTCTGGGTGTCTATTACCAACTCTACAGGTGCTGGCTCTTACAAGCCAACCCATTACGAGGTTGACAGGGGATTTATCCTGCAGAGCCCACAGTGTCATCTGCTCTAGACTGAGCCTGCAGACATCTTCCATCCCAGGGCCAAAGAGCAAGGGCCAGGGTTTCAGGTTCACCAAACTGCAGCCCTGGTCCATTCTTTTAGTGTGAGGAGGGGCACCAGTATGACAAGTGGTCAGTAATGGGTGCAAAGTGGGTGGGGGGGATGCCTGGGTATGAGGGCTCCTCTTCCTGGGTCTAGCTCTGGCTCCAACACCTACCAGCTGTGTTACTTGAGCTGATCTCTCAGACCTCAGTTTTACCCTACAAAATGAGGACAATGATGGTGTGAAGTGCATACAGCTATTATGAGTATTAAAATTCATCAACGAAGATTTCTGTGTAGCTTCTATGTGCTAGGAACAGTGTTCCCGTCCTAGGTAACCACCTGCTGAGACGGAAACCCTGAGCCTCCGTTTCTTCCTCTTTGGCCTGCACAGGTCCAGGTTGCTGCTATGGCTGGCTGGGCACCTCCTCCTGCCTCCATTCACCCTAGGCCTCATTCCCACCTTCCACAGCCTGAACTCATGCCCCCTCTTAGGACTACTCAGCTTGTAGCTGCCACACTCTGTCTGCATTATGTATGTGGGCATTGACTATTACTGGCAGGCCTGGCCACAGAACCTAGGCCAAGGATTTCCTAGTTCGGTCCTTGTCTAGCTCACACTAACCACCTCTCCTTTTTTTTTCCCTTTTTTTTTGAGGCAGGGTCTCCGTCTGTTGCCCAGGATAGAGTGCAGTGGTGTGATTGCAACACACTACAGCTTCGACCTTCTGGGCTCAAGTGAGCCTCCCGCCTCCGCCTCCCAAAGCACAGGGATTTCTCACCTGGCCTTCTTTGTTGGCCTAGGTGGGGAATGGGAAATGCACAGGGCCACTTTCTTTCTTTTTTTTTTTTTTTTGAGACGGAGTCTTGCTCTTGCTCTGTCGCCCAGGCTGGGGTGCAGTGGCCGGATCTGAGCTCACTGCAAGCTCCGCCTCCCGGGTTTACGCCATTCTCCTGCCTCAGCCTCCCGAGTAGCTGGGACTACAGGCGCCCGCCACCTCGCCCGGCTAGTTTTTTTTTTGTATTTTTTAGTAGAGACGGGGTTTCACCGTGTTAGCCAGGATGGTCTCGATCACCTGACCTCGTGATCCGCCCGTCTCGGCCTCCCAAAGTGCTGGGATTACAGGCTTGAGCCACCGCGCCCGGCCTGCACAGGGCCACTTTCAAATCAAAGTCAGAAGCACTTTGCTCGCTCCACAGAGCCCTCAGTGCTCTGCTGAAAGCAAGGAGGATTTTTCCAAGGCTCTAGTTTTGCCTCCAGGGAAACTGAGGCACAAGGCATCAATGATTCCTGGGGGTCCTGCCTCCGCTCCTCTAGCTGAGTAGCCTTTTCCATGGGCCCCACTATGAAAGCCGAGAGGCCAGGGGCACGCACTACAATTCCCAGAGGTCCCCGGGCGCGGGAACGTTCCCCCACCCCACGCCTCCCCCGCACGACGGAGCCGGGCCTACCAATGGGAGCCCAGAGTGGGGCGAGCAGGGGCGGGACGGGGCGGGGCTGCGGGGAGGCGGCCGGCGGGCGGCGCCGCGAGTCAGTAGCTCAGAGAGCGCGGGATCCGGACAGCCGCGCGCTGAGGGTCTCGGGGCGAGTGCCGCGGGACGTCGCCGGGCCATGGGTAAGCGGCTCCACGGCGCGGCCCGGGCCGGGGCTCGGCGGCCCTGCAGGGAGGGCCCAGGTGCCGGCGCCGGGTCCCCTCCAGCCCTCGTGGCGGTCGGGGCGCTGTGCGGGGCGGAAAGGGGTCCGCGGTGGGCTGCGGGGCGCGGGCCGAAGGGAGCGAGCCCGGCCCGCGGCTTCAGCGCTCCCGGCCGGCGCGGAAGGGGTGAGGCCGGGCGTCCGCGCGCGTTTCGAGAAAAGGAAAGACAAAAAGTTTTGGCGGCCAGGGGCTTCCCGGGCGTTTATCTCGAAACTCTCTTCGCCGTCTCTTGCCTGAAATGTGCCGAGCCCGGCACGGCGCTGTCGTCCCACTTCCTGCTGCGGTTTCCCCCGCGAGCCGGGCTCAGCTCCTGTGTTGTGACAGCTGCCGGCGGCCGCCCTCCGCCCCTGACACCCCGCGGGTTTCCGAACCGCGGCGCCGCCGGGCGGGCGCAGACTCCGGGTCCGGGGCGCGCGGCCCTTCCCTCTGCGGCGCCGTTTCCTGCAGGGGCTGCGCGGGTGCGAAGAACTTGCTCAATGCGCTGTGAAGGCTCCACGGTTCCTCTTTCGGCCGCGGGCTGCGCCGATGGTCCGGGGCGCCCGGCTTCGCGCCCCTGCCCATTCCTTCTCTTCCGTTCTCTCTTTCCCTCTCCCGTCTCCCCGCCCACCCGCCGCAGCCCCGCAGGAGAGGGGTCGCTTCCCTGGTTCCTCTCCTGTCCCTTGTGTGTCCCCTTCTTTTCCCTCGGTCTGCAGAAGGGACGGGGCGGCGGGTGGGGAGCGCCGGGGAAGAGGGCAAGGGCGCGGGCAGCGATGCCCGGCTTCGCGCTCGGTGGGAGCAGCGGGGCAACCCGGGCCCGCGCTCAGTCCCTCCGCGGTGTCTAGGGGTCGCCCGGTCTGGGGTCGCGTCTTCCTCCGCCCAGCGCCGGCGTGGTGGGGTTTGCGCGATGCAGGACCCCCGAGGGCACGGGGGGTCCCGAGGCGCTGCGGGTCCAGTGTCCCTTTGTTTGCGGAGTCTTGGGTCAGTAAAGAGGGCTCCGCGGGCCCCAGGGGAGGACAACAGGTGCCTCTTGCGCCACCCGGGCCCCACTGGTGGGAGCCCACACGCAAGGTGGCGTCTCTGCCTACAGGCAACGCTAGAGCACAGGAGGGGTGGGAGATGGGGCTCGAGGACTTCACCCCACGGCAGAGCTCAGAGCCCAGTCCAGGCCGTAGGGACCCGCCTGGGGCCTAGCACTTGGTGTGGCAGAGGTAGAAAGGGCCTCCGACAATCTGCCTCTATAGTTGGGAGACGTCACCTGGCACCTCTGAGCCTCTGTCCCGTAGGTGGAATGGGGACACATGAAGCCATCTGAGGAGCTCTCACTGTCACCACCAAATGTGGTCCAGACTCAGTGGGGAGGGACAGCCCCATCCTGGAATTGGGGCTTTTAGGACATCCCAGAGCCTGGTAAGAGGGACAGGGAGAGTGGGGCTTGGAAGTTGATAGCCTCACATTCAGTGTCCCCCGCACCTCCTTCCCCTTCTGTACCCTCTGGTGGCTCTTGTGGCCTCAGCTGCTCCCAGACCCTGTCTCTCTCGCCCTCCCCCAAGCTGAGGTACTGAGGCCGGGTTGTGGCTTGAGCTGCACCTGTGCCCCGGTATGGAGTGGGGGTCCCAGGCCCATGGCGTTTCTTCTCATTGCTGGCTCCAGCTCAGCCCCTGGCAGGCGCCCCGTCCCCAGACTCCTGGACCAAGCTCCGCGGAGACTCGGCCTGGCCGCCGCTCTCGCGCTGCCAAGTGGACCGGCCGTTTCGCCGCTTCAAAGGCTGTCTTTGTTTCGCTCCAGCTCAAGCTCAGAGAAACTTAAGCCAACAACCTCAGCCGAGGGGGCGGGGCGGCGTCTGCTGGTTGTTATTGAGGCTGCTGTTACCATTATTGTGGTAATTGACGCACTGTTCCCAGTCGGTGACTTTTCATGAAAGGAAGTGTCACTTCCTTCCCATCACACCCAGGGTGAATGGGGCGGGCAGCAGAAAGATGGGGAGGGAGGGAGAGAAGGAAAGGGGTGTGCGCCTCCAGCAGACCCTTAGGCTTGAGAGCTGTGTGGCCGTGTACTAGTCACTGCCCCTTTCTGGGCAACAGGGGTCTGTAAGTCCTGCACCCAGGAGGCTGATGTTTCCGGAGCAGCTGCTGGGCAGCGAGGTGCCTTGGGGAAGGAGCAGGACAAGCAGGCCTCCGGTCTTCTCACTGCGCCTGGCTGTGGTTTGTGGGGGAAGCCTCCTTTCTCTTCTCGATTTCTTCCGCTGAGAACACTGGGCACATTGAGTCTAGCACGCCCATCTTGTGGATGGGAAAGGGAGATACAGAAGCAGTGACCAACTTGGTAAGAGGTGCAGCCATGCGGTGCTAGAGCCCCTTGCTCCGTCTGTCCTCTTGGCCCACTCTCATGTCCTTACAGCTTGATGTCTGCCAGGGCAGGGGCCCGCTGACTTCCCCACATCCACCCACTGCCCGGCCCCATAGCTACCTTCTAGTCCTAGCTAAGTCCCATGAGACACCTTAAGTTTGTCCTCAGTGACTCTCGACCACCGCCCCACTGCCTTCACCTTCCTGCCTTTGCATACCCCAACTTCACCAGGTTGGCTGGGCCCTGGCCAGAGCTGGCCCCCTACTCCCTTAGGTAACGGAGCAGTTTTTTAAAAGGAATCTCAGTAGGTATCAACAGGTCTTTCCTCCTTCCTCAAGATTATGGAGATAACACCCCTTATTCAAAGATGGTGGGTCCTCTGGGCCCTCCCCCACCCAGGCCAGGGAAGTTGATTCACAGGGTGTGGGGGCCGTGCCCCCCACGCCCCCACTGCCCAGCACTCTCACCAGCCCCCTCCCATCCCTGAGCCTGGATGCCTTAGCAGGCAACACAGACCTGCTCTTGCTAGCAGAGTGACCGCAGCGATATGCTGGGAAACTGCACATCTCCTTGGGGAAAGGGGATGAGTTTGCACCCTCTGAGCACAGATAAGGAACCTGAGGTCTCCCTGCTCCCATTACAAAGAAAAAGACTTTAGCTGTCAGGGATCAGCGTCTCTCAGGAGTCAGACTACCCTGGTTCTGAATCCCAGCTCTGCCATGGATAAGCTGCGTGGCCCCAGGCAAGTCACTGAACCTCTCTGAGCCTCAGGTATTCTCTCTGTTATATCTGGATGGCTGGGAAGATTCAACAAAGCAGTGTTGTATGAGATGCCCAGCCCACGCCAGCCAGGGCACTGATTTGAGTCGGTGGGGCATATAACTTGAGAACAAGTAGACCTACTGGAGGGAGCGACAGATTAACCTCTTCAGTGCTGGAGTGGTAGGATCTGGGAGTTGAGCTTGACTCAGACAGGCGCCATGGAGTTAGAAAGAAATGAGACTCATAGCACAGGAAGAGCCTCAGGCAATCCTCCCGCCCAGCACCCTGCTGCACCCTCTGTCTAGTGAGGGACGGGGTCACTAGGAGCCCAGGCTCGTCTTCTGGTGCAGCCACCTAGCCTGCCCTGGCTCTCTTCCCAGCAGTGAAATGAGGAAATTGCAGGGGGGCTTGTGGAGTGAACTACCGTTGTCAGGGTTTTTCTAACACCATTTTCTAGCTGCACAAAACCCAAGGAACAAACTAGGAATAAACCTCCCCAAGAAAGCACAGGGGCTTTTTAAGAAGGAACTTCTGAGGACTGCAGAGGGAAACCTGAATTGTGGAGACACATGATCCTGAAAAGAAAGATGCAGTACTGTAAAGGTATTATTTTTCCTCAACGTAGTTTATAAACTTAAATGCAATCAAAGCCCTAGTAGTGGGAGTTGTTTGTTTGTTTGTTTGTTTTGGAGACAGAGTCTCTGTCCCCAGGCTGGAGTGTAGTGGCCTGATCTCAGCTCACTGCAACTTCCACCTCCTGGGTTCAAGTGATTCTCCTGCCTCAGCCTCCCGAGTAGCTGGGATGATTGGTGTGTGCCATCATGCCCAGCTAATTTTTGTATTTTTAGTAGAGACGAGGTTTCACCATGTTGGCCAGGATGGTCTCGATTTCTTAACCTCGTGATCTGCCCGCCTCGGCCTCCCAAATGTGTGTTTTTTTTTTAATTTTTTTGTTTTGTTTTGTTTTAAGAGAATGTAACAGAATTATCCCAAAGTTCAGATGGAATATTTTAAAAAGACAAGTAATATTGGGCAACTTGCCCTCTGGATAGTAAGTTGTTTTGTAAAGCTACAAAAAATTAAAACAGTGTGCACAGGTCCTAGCATTCCACCGTGGATGAAACAGAATAGAAAGTCCAGAAATAGTCCCACATGTGTTCCTTATAAGCATTGACATTGTGGGGAAAGTAGCTTTTTACACCACTGGGGGAGGAGGCCACTCACTGGGACCCCCTAACCAATGGGGAGAAAATATGGCTAGGATCCCTATTTCATCCTGTATACAGGAATAGATTCCAGATGTGTTACGAGTGAGTAATGAGACAGTAATCACCATCATCATCATCATTGCTTGCTGGATGGAGAAAGGTGAAGTCTGGATGACATTCTTATGGAGAGCACTTTTCTTTTTTGCATTTGATCCCCCACTTCTGCTACAAATAAAACATGCAAGGCATTGTGCCAGGAAGGCGCCTGCACACAAGGCTGGCAACAGGGCAGCAGTGCGGTGGCTCGTAGCAGCAGCAGCTCTCGGGCAAGTGGGTTTCTCCTGCCTCTGTGGGCTGAGTGGGGCCGGGAGACGGGGCCTCCAGCTCCATAAGCCTTTTCCCTCGTCCGCGGAGCCAGGAGAGGGCCCACCCCACCGCGCAGGTCCTGCCTGCCTGGCTGCCAGCTCTCTACTTCCCAACGCAGGACCTGTGTGGCCCAACATCTATGGCGGTGGGTTTCAAGCTTATTTTTTTTATAGCATTTATTACATTTTTTACAAATGTAACCCTGATCTGTGAATGATCAGGGAAAGGGAGAGATTAGGGCAGTGAGGGACAAGACAGAGG